ATAACAAAACATGCCGTGAATAGCATGCGTGAGGATAACAAAACATGCCGTGAATAGCATGCGTGGAGGATAACAAAATATGCCGTGAATAGCATGCGTGGAGGATAACAAAATATGTCGTGAATAGCATGCGTGGAGGATAACAAAATATGTCGTGAATAGCATGCGTGGAGGATAACAAAAGATGTCGTGAATAGCATGCGTGGAGGATAACAAAACATGCCGTGAATAGCATGCGTGGAGGATAACAAAATATGTCGTGAATAGCATGCGTGGAGGATAACAAAATATGTCGTGAATAGCATGCATGGAGGATAACAAAACATGCCGTGAATAGCATGCGTGGAGGATAACAAAATATGTCGAAAGAATCACAGGTTTGGGATTCTGCATACAAAACGAGTAAACTGTTGTTTTCATGTAAATTGAATGTTTCACGATGTTTGCGTTCAGAGAGTGTGTGAAATTAGGAATGTTAAGTTATAATGAGATAACCCAGCCATGCGTATTGAAGCCGCTATTTAGTTTAAAATGACACCGGATGCACATAATGCACACTTAATAATGATCAAATGATTTAAGTATTGACAATACCAGCCACATTTTAACGATGCATGAAGTATTCACATTAAACCACATTTTATCGAGCGTTTATAAGCATATTGTTTCCTCAACCCCAGACCGAAAGATTCATTCTACTTCATTGATAGCTCAAAAATGAAACTAACGTTAATGACAAATAGTATCTAATCTTTGCACAATCAAGAACAGCTTTGAAGCAATCGTTTCGACTTATCAATATTTACGATGTATTGGCGGTGACTCTGATTGAGAATCTCCTAATAATCTCAAACATTTTTAGATTTTTTTGGTATTTTCTAAACAGCCCTCACTAATTGTCAATTTGCAATGCTGTCATTTAATTGTGTTCTGATGAATGCAGCAGCGTGTTCGATTTGTTTTAATAAAACATTACTCTGAATCTATACCTCCAGCACCATATCGAGAAACCGTCGTTGTTAAGTCGTTCAATTATCGAATCAACGTCTACAACAGCATCTGCAGTAAATCCCACCAACTGTGGACAACAGAATATACAACCTTCTATCACACCACCAAGTATGATTGAAGAATTAACAAAACTATATTTTAGGGATTATCATGTCCGCTGGAGGTACAATGATTTGTTTGATAATTACGTCTTTGACTGACATATTATCTATTATTTATATTAATGAGCTTGGTAGTACACGACGCCCTTGTCTTAAACCATATGATTAATAGTTCGACAGATGAATAACACTCACATATTGAAACACCACACTGATATTTTCTTGTGTATAATGAAACTTGAACCCTTTTTCTAAATCACTTCCAAACACGTCAACTTCAGATTTTTTTTGGAGTATTAATAGTGTATTTTGTCACTTCTACCGCTGAAAGCGAGTAGTAAAACATTAAGCAGTTTCGCTGTGTGAGTTCGACCCTCGAAGCACTGACTAGAACATTTAATTGCCTTCATAAGAACACATTAACCTTGTCAGAAGACTTTTCATGCTACGATCTGTCCGGTAAAATATTTATTGCATCTAAAAGCCATTTCAGAATTCAACATTTAAAACACATTGTATTTGCATGAGAGATTTTGCCTGGAATCACGTTTCATCTGATTTAAGAAGTAGAATTAAGCAGTAAATATTCGTTTCCCAAACTATTACGGGAATTTTTCAACGAACATTCCACCATACTTAACTTAACATAACTAATCAAGTTGAATCGCAAACAAAGCATATTACATTAGAATTTTACTTTTTCAAATTCAGTGAAAGTATTCATCAGCTTCTGCTTGCTCCAAATTCGTGTAACGTTTTGATGTTAAGCCAGAAATCGATATCGTAATTAGATATACTCAATCATATACGTCAACCAAGCATCTTAGTTACAATTAATCGAATGGTTGGAAAGAGCAGGATGTGTAATTTGCAATATAAAAGTTTGTTTTATTATAAAAAGGTAATCTTTCGTGAAATTTGTATTTCTTTACTGTTTTTACGAGTATACTTCTCGTGAGGATGAAGCTTTATAATAGTAACAACTGCAGAATTTCTGCAACGAAATTACGTTGAGTTGGATTATTGGATCATCTTGGGGCTCATGGACACCTATGGATACTTATGAACATCTATGAATATCTATGGACTCCATGTGACACCACCTTTTCTATATTCTTGGACTTTATAGCATTTGTTGAATTCATGTCGTATTGTTCATTTGTAGTAGTTTCGAACGATAACGATTATCCAAAGAAAAAGCTCATTCTCATAACACAACACCCTCATCTCACCATTTCACCTTTTCCCACCCTTATCCTCATGGCACTCTCACCCTCACCCTCACTTCGGCCCAAACCACCCCAACCAACCTGCCCAATCCAACCCTCCTCACACCTTCTTCACCATCACTTTAACTATCATCCTCACCCCTACCCTCCCACCCGTCCCACCATCCTCACTCCTACCGCAACCCAACCCATCGTACCCTCCCCCACCACCACCTCACCACCCTCACCCTCACGCTCGCCCTCTCCCCACCCGAGACCCTACCCTCATGCATGACGAATCTTTAAACCACCACCCTTCCTATTACCTCCGTAGGGTCAGGGCGTTTTACCAACGTTATCATGTTGTGTATGACGCTGTGCCTATATGGGTATATCCGCAGTATGAAATATTTAGTTAATTAAACAATTGCTGTGCCGAAAGAGATACAATTATACAAGATTAGATACATGGATGAACGACTTCTATATTTACATCGAGGAGCGGCGTGCCAGTGTAGATTCTAACGCCGTTATCAAGTAAGTGATGTACAGAGTAGTATAGGGAGACATGTATACACTTTTGTATGGTTTGTCCATTTTATGACATTCTGAGAAACTCCATTTTACCAGTATATTACACTAACTATCCATCATTTGATAAGTTTATTCACTTATTATCATCTACAAACATCGATGCCATTAACAGTCTTGCACGATTTGTATTTCTTGGTATGAAAAATCGTGTTCGATTTCTAAAACTTAACATGTAACAACCTTGGCTCCACGTCAGTATAATTAGTCTGTATGTACTTGTATAATGGGCCGGTGGCCCCTTACAGAAATAAACATCTCTCTATATATATACAGATACAAAGTAGTGTTTTTCAGTACAGAATAGTAGCCTGTTAAGTTTACAGTACAGAAGACATAAGGTAAATCAGACCCTTACAAATATAACCTGTCATATAAAACACAGAACGATTATGTCTGTTTGGTGTCTTTGATGAGTTGATGACACAATTAAGCAAGTTTAGCATGTCTAATATTCTTTTTTACTCTCATTTCCAAATCGACCCCGACCACAAAAAGTAACACTATATATTCAGTTATATAACAGGGAGCTTAAAATGCTTGCTAAAACAATGTTGATTAATGTGTCATTGTTATCATCATATTGTTAGACAAGCGCTATCAGAGGTTTATGCAATTAACAGGGGACATTTTGATTCAGTCTTGAAGTGATTAAAAGGTTATTTTCAAAGTACGCCCCACAGTTAGACAATGTAAGAAGAAAATGACGTGGAAATAAGAATATTTTCTTATTTGAAACTATATACGAAAAGAGCCAATGCAAAATGTTCTTTAACCTTCAATTCGTATTATTGTGTTCTGTTAAGTAGCATGGGGCTTATCTATACATACAGCGTGTCATGAAAAACAGTTGGTTCCTGAAAGTTCTGTAAAGTTTAATATCTTTAATCATTCATTGCAAAAAACGCTAATGATTCTTTTCTGACTGAATCAACACTTACTGAGGCAATAAAATCATTCACATATATACAGTTACTCGGACAACCTGTTTTTTAACGCTGCGAGACTAAGCCATTAATACCAAACCTGAAGAATTAATAAGACATGTTTTAGAAAAGGCTTCCTACCCACAGTGATGCCACTCTACACCCTAGCTGTTTCCCCTTGGTACTTTGTTGATGGAGATAGAGCTACTCTGTGATTATCCGACAGAAACTTTAAACAAAAGTTAACAAACAGCATCTAATCCAATATTGCAGTCGTGTAAAAACACTTAAATACTTATTTCCGTTTTCATGCTTGGAAACGGTGTAAGTATCTATACCGACACGTCGCTATTGTACAATAAAGAAGTTGATCATCTATAAACACTTGTCATTCCTGTGTGAAAACAAGACAATAACTTTTTCTTAAATGGCATTTCTTTGAAATATGACGTAATTATTTAAAACGATTGCTGATTTGGGTAATATGAAATCGGTATTGGTGAAAAGATTGTCACCAAAATATCGAAAGATTTGCACGAAATAGAGTAAAACTGAAGTATGTTACAAGTCAACAACGTGGCCCCTTTAACAGGGTCGATACAATTTCAGAGATTAATATCACTGTAGAGAATATCATAGTTGTAGAGATTAGCGTCTGTAGGGATTATCACAAGTGTTGAGATTAACATTTGTAAAGACTGTAAGATTTGTAAAGACTGCATTTATATAATTTTAACAGCACTTTTGTCTTTTGCACAAAATGGAATCTGTTTCTGCGGGTCAAAACAAGGTGTTCTTTTCATTACGTTTTATAGTTACCATTGACTAGATTAACATACAACACCTATTGATTCGGGGATGTTTGTGTAGAGACAACGAGGATGTGTCTGTCCCGATACTTCCGTAACCGATTCTTTAACTAATCAATTCATCCGTGTCAACTGTAGACTTGTGGTTGATGTAAATATGTATATTCAATGCACGTATATCTACAACCATATTCACAATAACAATGACATGTGCGCGTGCCTCTACTTTTTATACCAACATGTTTTGACGTGTGCTGGGCAATTTGCATTGCTGAATAGCGATGTGTAACCTATAGCATCTGTGGTGGTAACGGACAATGTTAAAACAAATGTAAACACCAACATACCACCTACCTGAACACGGGGTCCTGAGGACCTTTGGGTACTCCGGTTCCACCCAGCAATCCGTGGGGGAAGGGGGTTCGTTGAGGGGGGTATGGGGGGATGATCGTCGCCCCCGCGTCTTTTTGATCATGAAGGAGCGAGGCATGTTTCTACGAAGGACTCTAAGTGATCAGCTATCACAGTCGTCTCCGCGTACTCAGACAGTACTGTTGGTTGTGATTAGTTAGTTTTGGTGCTTTTCTAAGCGCACGTGATTTTAAATATTAAACCTTCACCATCTGTGAAGTTCGAGAGGTAACAATTGGCGCTTAGATTGTGTGAAATTATTGATGTAGCAATGTCCCTCCTACAATTACTACAGCTCTCGACGAATTCCGCCAAATACATTCAGCACTTCCCTCCTAATAATCGCACGCTGCTGATTGGTTCGGACGCCTCGGGGCTTGAATGAGCGATAGGCGAAGAGGTGTGATTATGCAAATGAGTAACGACAAACGGGGCTGGGGTTGCGAGCGGGACAATATTAACCAACATGCTCGATGTGGCTAAGCGCCTGATCGACAGATGCAAGAATGGACGTCTAACCGTGTCACATCCTGGCTCCATGGACTCGTTTACGAGGACCGTGAATCTTGTTAGCGGGGAGAGATTTGGATCAACTAGACAAAACGGAAGGATTGAATATCAAACCCGAACGAGCTATTTATAGCCTGTCGCAATAAACGCTCAGTGATAGCTGTAACGTTTTCAATTTAACCGTTACATACTTTATTTTATTCTTTTTTAATATTAATTCATTTTGTTCTTTATTTCTGCCTGTGTAATTCAAGAGCAGTTCATAATAGACCTAGATTTTTCAATTTGATTTGTCAATCTCTCATAGTTGTTTATTTTGCTGTAATGCAAGGGCTGTATTTTTGCACTTTAATAGTACACATGATCACTCGCGCAAAAAGATTATTAAGCTATGAATAAACATGAGTTTATTCCTGAAATGAGAAGTACTTAGCTGGATACAATCAAACAGTTGACATAATAACAGAATAGAAAGAGAAACGTTACGTCCAAAGAGACCGTTAAATATATTTAGCAACATATGCTTGTCGTAAGAGGCGACTAACGCTAACGGGTGGTCAGAATTGGTTGATGTCTTTCGTTGTATCCCATTTGCTCATGATGTCAATCACTGGATTGTCTGGTTCCGAGTCAATTATTTTACAGACCGCATTCGCCATGTAGTGATGGGTATTGATTCATTTCATCAGAGAAAGAGAGTGAGTGAGAGAGAGGGAGAGAGAGAGAGGGAGGGAGAGAGAGAGAGAAAAAAAAACAGAGCGAGAGAATGTGGTTAGACTTCATTCTACGAATCTGTTTATAGATAAACTTCGTTTTGTGAATCCAAAAGAAACGATACTGAGTTTGCTGTCTCCCGCCGTATTTGGGAATACAAATAAAATCAGGGTAAAACCATACTCACTCTCATTCCCCTAAAAATATGTGTACCCGGATGAGCCAAGACCCCAATGGGGGAATGGCCGTATTTGCAGTTGACGTACATAAAGACAGTCACATCAAAATATTCAATGAAGATCAGAATATGAACCACAGTACTGAAACTACTTCCCCGTATTGTCTTCATATCAGCAGGTTTCAACTAAGGATCCAACCAGCTCAGTAAACGTCTCCCACTCAGCTCGCTGCTGGTATGTGAGTGAGTGGGTGAGTCAGTGAGTGAGTGAGTTATCGCTTTTAGCAATATTCCATCAATATCACGGCGGGGAACAACAAATCAACTAGAAATGAACCCGAGTCTTCAGACGAGCAAACACTTTAACCACTAAGCTACAGCATCGACCCTCGCTGCTGGTATGTGTTGCGTGTCGCTGTCCACAATGGTCACACATAAACCGTTGGTTATGGGTTCGAATCCCAGTTCGCCTTGATGATGTCGCCTGGTTTGTCAGCACCAGAGCCCATCTGTTTACCCACGGTGGTAGACGTGTGACCAGCACCACGTCAGGCTCCCCGTCCAGATTAAACCGACATGCCTTGGTATTACAGAAATACTGATAATACTGTTATTTTGTTACCATGTATGGAATCTAAAGAAACTTCTTATGTACATCTTCTAAACACAATCGGCCAACTGTTCACAAATTGTACATTGTAAATTATTTATTAATGAGCAGTGCAACATATAACATGCTTTCATTTTGTTAGATTGATGTATTGTAAATAATGTATTTGCCTTTGCATGATCTTCGGATTCAAATCTGGAGGAAATAAAGACATTCATTCATTTCATTCATTCATTCATTCATTCATTCATTCATTCATTCATTCATTCATTCATTCACTTTGTGTGTGTAAATCTGTTTGTTTGGGGGAGGTTCACCCCATGTATATATTTTAGCGTTATTACCAGTTCATTTGGAGGCATAGTCTCCGTTTGCCAGACTCATGTTTCACACTGTTTTGAGGCATGGGTTTAACACAACCAAGATGAAGGGATGCTATATGAGCGGATGACGTATTACTCTGTGGATGGGGAGAGAGAAATATATGTCTTACACGGTTGATGGGGAAATGTAGATGCAAGGTTGACTTGTTGTCATTAGCTGTCAATGTGCGCGTTGTACTACATCCATTATGCCTTTTGTCATTATGTCAGATGGTAGCAGTATGTTGTACACAGGTGATAGGTATGTTCTTTACATATTGATAGGAGTATCTTGTACATAGGTAAAGGCATATCTTTGACATAGTTGATAGCAGTATGTTGTACACAGGTGATAGGCATATCTTTGACATAGTTGATAGTAGTATGTTGTACACAGGTGGTAGGCATATCTTTGACATAGTTGATAGCAGTATGTTGTACACAGGTGACAGGCATATCTTTGACATAGTTGATAGGAGTATGTTGTACACAGGTGATAGGCATATCTTTGACATAGTTGATAGCAGTATGTTGTACACAGGTGATAGGCATATCTTTGACATAGTTGATAGGAGTATGTTGTACACAGGTGGTAGGTATATCTTTGACTAGTTGATAGAAGTATGTTGTACACAGGTGATAGGTATGTTCTTTACATATTGTTAGGAGTATCTTGTACATAGGTAAAGGCATATCTTTGACATAGTTGATAGGAGTATGTTGTACACAGGTGATAGGCATATCTTTGACATAGTTCATAGCAGTATGTTTTACACAGGTGATAGACATATCTTTGACATAGTTGATAGGAGTATGTTGTACACAGGTGGTAGGCATATCTTTGGCATAGATGATAGCAGTATGTTATACACAGGTGGTAGGCATATCTTTGACATAGTTGATAGGAGTATGTTGTACACAGGTGATAGGTATGTTCTTTACATATTGATAGGAGTATCTTGTACATAGGTAAAGGCATATCTTTGACATAGTTGATAGGAGTATGTTGTACACAGGTGATAGGCATATCTTTGACATAGTTGATAGCAGTATGTTGTACACAGGTGATAGGCATATCTTTGACATAGTTGATAGTAGTATGTTGTACACAGGTGGTAGGCATATCTTTGACATAGTTGATAGCAGTATGTTGTACACAGGTGACAGGCATATCTTTGACATAGTTGATAGGAGTATGTTGTACACAGGTGATAGGCATATCTTTGACATAGTTGATAGGAGTATGTTGTACACAGGTGATAGGCATATCTTTGACATAGTTGATAGGAGTATGTTGTACACAGGCAATAGGCATATCTTTGACATAGTTGATAGCAGTATGTTGTACACAGGTGATAGGTATGTTCTTTACATATTGTTAGGAGTATCTTGTACATAGGTAAAGGCATATCTTTGACATAGTTGATAGGAGTATGTTGTACACAGGTGATAGGCATATCTTTGACATAGTTCATAGCAGTATGTTTTACACAGGTGATAGACATATCTTTGACATAGTTGATAGGAGTATGTTGTACACAGGTGGTAGGCATATCTTTGGCATAGATGATAGCAGTATGTTATACACAGGGGGTAGGCATATCTTTGACATAGTTGATAGGAGTATGTTGTACACAGGTGATAGGTATGTTCTTTACATATTGATAGGAGTATCTTGTACATAGGTAAAGGCATATCTTTTGACATAGTTGATAGGAGTATGTTGTACACAGGTGATAGGCATATCTTTGACATAGTTGATAGCAGTATGTTGTACACAGGTGATAGGCATATCTTTGACATAGATGATAGGAGTATGTTGTACACAGGTGGTAGGCATATCTTTGACATAGTTGATAGGAGTATGTTGTACACAGGTGATAGGCATATCTTTGACATAGTTGCTAGCAGTATGTTATACACAGGTGGTAGGTATATCTTTGACATAGTTGATAGGAGTATGTTGTACACAGGTGATAGGTATGTTTTTTACATATTGATAGGAGTATCTTGTACATAGGTAAAGGCATATCTTTGACATAGTTGATAGGAGTATGTTGTACACAGGTGATAGGCATATCTTTGACATAGTTGATAGCAGTATGTTGTACACAGGTGATAGGCATATCTTTGACATAGTTGATAGCAGTATGTTGTACACAGGTGATAGGCATATCTTTGACATAGTTGATAGCAGTATGTTGTACACAGGTGATAGGCATATCTTTGACATAGTTGATAGGAGTATCTTGTACACAGGTGGTAGGCATATCTTTGACATAGTTGATAGGAGTATGTTGTACACAGGTGGTAGGCATATCTTTGACATAGTTGATAGGAGTATGTTGTACACAGGTGATAGGTATGTTCTTTACATATTGATAGGAGTATCTTGTACATAGGTAAAGGCATATCTTTGACATAGTTGATAGGAGTATGTTGTACACAGGTGATAGGCATATCTTTGACATAGTTGATAGGAGTATGTAGTACACAGGTGATAGGCATATCTTTGACATAGTTGATAGCAGTATGTTGTACACAGGTGATAGGCATATCTTTGACATAGTTGATAGGAGTATCTTGTACACAGGTGGTAGGCATATCTTTGACATTGTTAATAGCGGTATGTTGTACACAGGTGATAGGCATATCTTTGACATAGTTGATAGGAGTATCTTGTACACAGGTGGTAGGCATATCTTTGACATAGTTGATAGCAGTATGTTATACACAGGTGGTAGGCATATCTTTGACATAGTTGATAGGAGTATGTTGTACACAGGTGATAGGCATATCTTTGACATAGATGATAGGAGTATGTTGTACACAGGTGGTAGGCATATCTTTGACATAGTTGAT